TCCAGTGAGAGGGGCTGGGCAATTCCTAATTAACCCGGGCTAATTAATGAGCTGCTGGAAGCACTGTGGGGTTTACATTTAATTTCATTTCATTCACTCTTAATTTACATTTTATTTACTTTTTATTTCCTTTTAATTTAATTATTTTATTTTAATTATTTTAATTCTTTTATTATTGAATTTATTGCAGTTTAATGCAATTTTATTTCCACTTTTGATTCATATTTTTATAGACTTTTATGTCCATTTATTTATTTATATTTCCATTTTTATTCCTTTTCTAATTTCTATTCCCATTTATTTTTTATTTCCTTTGATCTACTTTCCCATCCATTTCTTTATTTTCATTCCCATTTATTTCCTTTCATTTTATTCCATTTTATTTCATTTTTCTTTCTATTTTACTCCCTTTATTATTCCATTTTATTCTCTTTTAAAATCCCTTTTATTCCCATTTTTTATTCCATTTATTCCCCTTTTTATCTCACCTGAAGAACCATTCTAGGCGGGTTTGTCACGCATTAAAATTCTTTATTTTAATTGAATTTTTTTGGGTTTTTTGGTGTTTTTTCAGCTTCCTCTGGGTCTTTTAAGATGACAAATTCTGGGGATTCCTTCCTCAACCTGCAGCCCTTGAATTCCTACCAGAGCCCTCCCAACGCGCAGAGCCAGGTGAGGAAAAATGGGAAAAAATCCAAATTTCTGCCCTGGATCCCAGAGGAATCCGTTCCTTCCGATTCCTCCTGCAATTTTCAGGGCTGTTTAAAGGTTTGGGGTTCTTTAAATTTCTGCTTTTACTGAAAATCTGAAATTCCTCTTGGGATGAGGAGGGAAGTTCTCACTGAAAATCCAAAATTCTCAGTGGAATTCCCACTGAAATTCCTGTTGGGATTAGGAGGGAAATTCTTGGTAAAATTCCAATTGGAAATCCAAAATTTCTCTCTGAAATTCCCACTGAAAATCCAAAATTCCCACTGAAATTCCTGTTGGGATGAGAAGGGAAATTCTCAGTGAAATTCCAAAATTCTCAGTGAAATTCCCAGTAAAAATCCTAAATTCTCACTGAAATTCCTACTGAAAATCCAAAATTTCACTGAAATTCCCAGTGAAATTCCCAGGGAAATTCTCACTGAAATTCCCACTGAAAATCCAAAATTTCACTGAAATTCCCAGTGAAATTCCTGTTGGGATTAGGAGAGAAATTCTTGGTAAACTTCCAATTGGAAATCCAGAATTCTCTCTGAAATTCCCACTGAAAATCCAAAATTTCACTGAAATTCCCACTGAAATTCCCACTGAAATTCCTGTTGGGATTAGGAAGGAAATTCCCACTGAAAATCCAAAATTTCACTGAAATTCCCACTGAAAATCCAAAATTTCACTGAAATTCCTGTAGGGGTTAGGACTGAAATTCTTAAATAAATTCTGAAATTCTTTGTAAAATTCCTATTAAAATTCCCAGTGAAATTCTTGTTGGAATTAGGAATTTAATTCTGAAATTCTCAGTGAAATT